CTCTAACCTGCTCCACAATAAACTAGACAAACCAAAACAAACCATGGGCAGGGGGGAGGAGGAGACCCGCAGGCGGGGGGGGCCCCCCCCAACCCCACATCAAAAACGACAACAGAAGGGAGGCGGCGGCGGAGGGACGGCGGCGGGGGAAGTGGGGGGGGGGGAGGGGGGGGCCCCCTACACAACAAAAAGTAGAGGGAGGAGGAAGGAGACGAGAACAAAAGACACACCCCCCTCGGGGGGGGAGCCCCCCCCCTCGTGTCGCACCCCACAGGGGGGGGAGGGACACCCCACCCAAGAAGAGGGGGGGGGACGAGGGTCCGCAGTTGGTGCAAAGACGCAACAACGGGATGGACCGTCAAAAAACGGACAGGATCAGTAGGTGCGGAGCACCCTACTGGTCCAGCAACGTCAAGAGAAGTTATAGGCCTCTTGATGAAGGTTGCTCCCAACACACAAACGTTGTGCGTTGCTGCTCTAGGTAATGAGGTCTCACTCATTACCTTGAAACTCGAAGTGACGAATAAGTTGTCCCTTCGAGCTCTAGTCGATTGTGGGGCGTCCAACAATTTTGTGCGACGCCAATCGCTAGAAGATGGTCACTTTAAATTCAGTGAATGTGACACACCTCCTACGAGGATGACGGTACGTCTTGCGACAGGCGCATCCGTAACCGTCATGAAGCGTATAGTGAAGATCCACTATACGCTAGAAGATACCCAATATGACGATGACTTTATCGTATTGGATTTGGATGACAAATTTGATGTCATCCTTGGAATACCGTGGCTCAGAAGGTACGAACCACGGGTAAACTGGCAACATCGAACAGTAACAATGCCTGCCGCTTGTTCATCAGATGGCCATCTGATGAACGTTTTGGAGCGTCCACAAGCGTGTGGATGTACTACGAGTGAGTGCGATGGCCTCACTTGTGGTACGGTCGTTAGTACGACTGCACAAAACCTTAGTGTAACAAACGGTTACACTTCGGAGCAAAGTTCCGGCGGCTGTGAGGAAACACAGGCTGCGCCGAAGGTCCACCACTCAAATAAGTTGAGTGGACTGGGACAAAGATGTATCCCTGGTAGGGAACATCTAGAAGATAAACAACCGATCGCTCAGGTTAAGCGAAACGATAATCCTAGATCGACTGGAGAGTCTTTCGTAGAGGATCTCGCTGTGGTTGCGCGACCACAGCTAGAGGAAGTAAAGGGAATGAGTCCCAAGATTACAAATACGGCGGAAATAAGCTCCCCGAAACCCGCGGGAATAAGTCCCCGGGAAGCCGAAGGAATAAGTCCTTCGAAGCCTTAGGGAATAAGTCCCCAGGAAATGACAGAGACATTGAATGTCATAGTCAATAACGGATCAAGTGTAGGCGCTTATACACTTGATCTGATTGCGCCTCCGAAGCCATGTGAGGAAATCAACTTCCCCACATATGTCCCCGACTTTCTGTGTGCGAAAGCAACAGGAGGGTGGCGGATAGTGCATGCATTCAACAAGTTGAATGCTGCAACGGTACCGGCTCAGACGCCTATACCAAGGAAGGACGTCCTGATTGATGGTATGGCAAAAAGTACCATCTTTTCGTCCATGGATATTATGGATGAATTTTATCATTTCCTTATGCGAGAATGGGACATACCCTATACCGCAGTACGCACGCCCAGCGGCATGCTCTGGGAATGGCTAGTAATGCCACAAGGGCTTAGTAATACCCCTGCCACGTTCAACAGATGTGTATCACATCTGTTGAGATCAGTACGAGTATTCACGCCGAGTTATTTCGATGATGTATTCCTCCATAGTCGAGCTATGGATGGAAAGTCGGACGTTGAGGTTCACAGGTACCACGTCCGACAGGTTCTTACAATCATGCGAAAGCATCAATTGTATGCAAACCTCAAGAAGTGTATATTTGCAGCAAGCGAAATACCACTTTTTGGGTGCATCGTTGGTAAGAACGGTGTTCGTCCTGATCCCGAAAAGATCAAGGCGATCACCGACTGGCCTGTGCCGGTCGATGTCAAAGGTCTTCGAAAATTCATTGGGCTAGCGGCGTATTTGCATAAGTATTCACGCAATTACGCCGAGATGACTGTGCACCTCTCTCGTTTGTTGAAAAAGAACGAGAGGTGGTTATGGAACGCTGAATGTCAGCGCTCCTTTGATGGTATCAAGCAGAGCTTTATACAATCCCCAGTCCTGGCAATAGCCGATCAGGACAGGCCATTTCATGTGGTCTGTGATGCCAGCGATTTCGCAATCGGCTGTGCATTAATGCAGTACGATGTTGAAGGCGTTGAACGCGTCGTCTGCTATCAGTCGTGTCAGCTGCAACCAGCTGAGCGGAACTATCCAGTGCATCACAAGGAACTCCTTGCCATGAAGTATGCACTCGCGAAGTTCAGAGTCTATCTATTAGGAGATAGACCCTTCATTGTTCACACTGACCATGCGTCATTACGCACGGCAGTGAACAGCCCGCACCTTTCACAACGAATGGCGCGGTGGTTGTCATTCTTTGCAGAATACAACTTTACGGTCGAGTACAAACCAGGACGACTTAATGTCGTCGCTGATGCACTCTCACGTCGTCCCGACTTTGAAACAGTCGCGAAACCCAACAGTGAGACAGTCACTGTTGCGGTTATGACGTCCTCAGTCCCATCTACAACGTTGTATGATGATGTGATGCGGGCATACGCCCAAGATGGTGAGATAGTGAAGTTGTTGTCACATCTCTCCCAACCATCTCGAGAATCGTTGAAACGATTGTCGTCTGCGTATCGATCTGCATCTGATCGATACACTACTCGCAACGGTTTACTGTATTATACAGCCGTTTCTGGTGACACACCACGTGTTGTCATTCCAGATGATACTGGTCTGCGTTTGCGGATCATGTTCGAGTATCACGATGCTCCTATAGGAGGACATCGTGGCCGAGAGAAAACCTATCTCACGGTAAGTCGAGACTTTTACTGGCCCCGCCAGTATCAGTTTATGCGAAAGTATGTTCGCGCATGCGAAGTCTGCCAACGAGTGAAGTCAAGTCCTTCACTGCGTGCACCTTTACAGCCTCTACCGGTTCCGGCTGAGTGCTGGGAATCCATCTCAATGGATTTTGTCTTCGGGTTACCCAAAGACGCACGCGGGAATACGGGTATTCTCGTATTTGTTGACAGATTCAGCAAAATGGTACACCTTGTGGCTGTACCAGAGACAATCACGGCAAGTGGCTGTGCTTGTGTCTTTATTGACACCATCTTCCGACTTCATAGGTTGCCCCGTGAACTCGTATCAGACAGAGATCCACGATTCACTACTGATTTCTGGCGTTCCGTGTTCAAATCACTCGGAACGCGCTTGAAGATGTCAACATCTGATCATCCAGAGTCAGATGGACAGACGGAACGTGCCAATCGTGTCCTTGAAGAGATACTTCGAGGATACGTACACTCCTTTAAGAATTGGAGTGAGTTTTTGCCAATGGTAGAGTTTGCCATTAACAACTCGGTGCATGCGTCCACGACCCATACATCGTTTTACGTGAATGGCTTGCGCCATCCGCGTGTACCCACCTTACTAGAGTGTAACTCTGGTTTAAGGGGGGGGAGGGACTCGCGCGAGCAAAAACCGATTTGGTTCACGCTCATCACGCTCTGACGAAGAGGTCATTGCGTTTGATGCCAATATCGATAACATCGATATCGAAGAAGATGATGCCAGTGAGAGTGCGGAAGCCCTCACTGAAGAAAAGGTTGATGTTGCTCAAGTGCGCTCACAGCGCACTGAAGCTAACGAGTCATCAGATGAGTTCATACTGGCTCGTGAAACGGTAGTCCGTTTGGGCAAGACTCCATCGCCGAAGCGGTGGATAAGCAAAAGCAAAACGCCGACAAGAATGGAAGGGCAAACACTCTTTTATTTAATAAAGGTGACTTAGTCCTACTGTCTACGGTTAATCTACCAAAGCATGTAGTGACTAACTTGGGTAGCAGTAAACTACTACCCAAGTACATTGGTCCATTTTCGTGTATTGCACCGCCTAGGCAATGCATACACGATCGAGTTGCCACGTAAGATGCGAACGCATCCCACGTTTCACGTTGGTCGGCTTAAGCCGTACCATCAGTACGCTGCTTCTTCCGACGAAGAACACCCTTGCGCTCAAGCATCTCGCAGAGAGCCTTGTGCTCCCGATGGTGGGCATCAACAAGGGTCTGAAGAGCAGTTATCTCATCCCGAGACCGATCAACAATCCCACGAGCTACCCTTAGCTCGTCACGAAGAGATGTCAGACCTCTCGTTCTCAAGCTGAGCATAGGCGAACTCAGCTCGATGCTTCAAGACAGTGTCCGCCATTTGGAGACGCCTGTCCCGCTCATGTTCAAGATCGTTGCGTAACCCTTGCGTTACGCGATCAAAGAAGCTCTCGGGAACATACGGATCCCCATGATCGTGTGGAGAGCGTCTCTCCTCCTCCTCCACCTCCATTAGAGGACTCTCGCGGTGGCCAGCGCTATCTGGTTGAGCAGCTGTTGAACCACCGCGACGTGAACGGACGTCGGACGAGTTATCTCGTCCGATGGCGCGGCGATCCTCCGTCCTGGGATTCTTGGGAGCCCCGCTCCCAACTGATGATCGACGTACTGGGTCTGGTTGAGCAGTACGACGCGGCACATCCTGTGCCGCAGAAGGACCGCCGGAGAAAGTCTTCCCGGCACGTTCGTAAAAGGATTTCAGGTTGTCAATCCCTTCGTACATCTCAGTAGAGACACGTACGCGCCACCACGGGCTGGTAAGGAGGTAAACCTCCTTAGGTGCTCGTGCAGAGTTGTTCACACAACATGGGCACGAGTCTCCCCAAGAAAGGCAGGGTAATCCTTTCTCCCTTGACAGACGATGCAGCTTGTAGCGTGCACCTGTCGGGGTTCGCTTTTCAAACTTATCACGAGCTTTGATAAGTTTGTCGTTCCAAGCGTCACGACCTACATCCTCGAGGTTATGGATGTAGGCGTTCCACGCCTGAAGTAGTGAGGGACCATCACGTTTGTGATTCCCACTGTACCATCGATGTCTAAAGAAAGCATCGATGAAGAATTCATGTTCAGCGCGATAGTTTTTCGCGCTGGGGTCAAGGTGATGAATCCTTGACGAATCGAACAATCGTGTTCGATAACGATCACTCGTCGTCGCCGACAAGTGATCCATGACTGATTAGGAGGCATCCATGCCTTCTTCTCGGGAGCGAGACGCAAGACATTGCGGTCCCGCTCTTCCTGCGACGTGCCGACAGAAGTACTGGCACCTCGCTGTGAAGTGGTGTCCATAGGAGAACCGACACCACTATTAGCGCCCGAGTCTCGCGACCTCGAGCGCCTTCGCTTCGGCGATGGTTCATCTGATTCATCAGATGAACCAAAGATGCTGCGACGCATAGCATCGTCCATGCCACTCTTGGCAGGCGGCTTAGAGTCAATCGCCGTCGTTACGGATCTGTCATCCGTATCAGGAGAGTACGAGACACCGAGCTCGTACTCTGTGAAGACACGAGTGTCTTCATGACCAGCGCCTGCATCACCAAGTGACACAGGCTGGGTCGCTTCAGCAACCGATGGGACATCAGTTGCTGTTGTTTCTGCTTCGGCGTCCGCACAGAGACGTGCAGACGCGTTCTCGGCGGCCTTGCTCGCGCATCGCATGGGCTTGTTAACCATGCGATGAGATGTTGGAAAGTGGACGCGGACCAACAAGTGCAAACCCTGTCCCAAATGATTTGGGACGAGTATCCGTTTAGTCAATCAGTCACTAAAGTGACTAATGGTTAAAGGAAGGTGATGTAACGGGGTGAATCGTTACATAACAATTTATAAGAAATTGTTAATAGAATATAACTATAAGAGTTATATTCTCAGAATATTGTAATAAGGACAAATATTCTGTAGCACTTACAAGTAGTTCCTAATTGGTTGATATAGGCCATTATATCAACCAACGAAGACGCGCCACGACAGACGCACGCAATGAGTGGTGAGCAGATAGTTGATTTACACATTTGTATTTGGACATAGTTAGATGAAGATAAATAGTGATTTATTGCAGACATTAACTATTATAAATACAGTTCTACTTTTTACTCAAACCAAGTACTCGCTTCTTCTTACCGTCTTCCTCTACACGTACCAGTGTACGTGAAGTTACGCGGCACCGCCTTATTCTGTCATCAGAATAAGTAGCTTGTACTGTCACCAGTACAAGCTTCAGGGTGCCCCGTTACATTAAACACCTGTTCGATATAAGGGTCGAAATTTTCACAGTCGATCTCCAAGACACAAAATCATCGTTACAAGAAGCTAGAGGATATTAAGACCTACGGCGCGTAGCGCGAAACAGTACGCAATAGGCGAAGCCGGTCTTGCTGCATGGCGCCTCATCATGATCCATCTCAAGAGCGCAAAATGGAGTGGTAAACGACTGTAGTCTAAGCGTTTTTAATTTTTCCAACAAAACAGTTAGGATTATAAACTACCGTCACCCCTTCTCTTGCTTGTAAGGCTTTTCTGCCGCTCATACCGTCGTCAATCGTGCTTCTGCATCTTCCCGGACTCTGGCTACATAAAGTTGTATAATCCCTCTCCCTAGTCGACATCAGCTACTGTGTGTCTTCATTTAAACGCGCTTTGAAGCTATCTGTTACCTACCAACGTCAAACAGGACATGAGTAGCTAGCGACCAGTCGTCTTCTTTTACTAACGTGTACAGCTCTATAAAGTTAAAATCAGTATCATATATGACTAATCTGCAGATGTGCTCACGAACGTAAGGAATGAAGCTCGATGTACTGTCGAACTCCGAGTGCTTTGTGTCTAGCCTGAAGCACAAGTCTTTGCCCTCAGTGAGCGTCAATGTGACGCACCTTGTTAATTCTAGCAGCTAGATGTAGAACGAAGATATCTGTCGGTGTTGATAAAATGAACGCAGCAACGGAAACACTAATATTTACAGGATCGATAAAGGTTTGCAATTGCTATGGATTGCTGGCATCTGTGCTGAACGGCGTGCTGCCGTCCTGCGGATTATTGACACATGTATACCTGATGATAGACTTTTTTCATGTGCTCCTGTTGCTATGCCATCTCCACCAACTGATGTATTTTGCCTCGGGGCATTGTTTAATTTCTGTCATGGGAACGGCTGCGTCTGCAGTTTGGCTCACCTGCTCCACAAGAAAAAGAGATGAGCGTGCTGAACTTACCCGACGAAGATTCTGGCTGCGATCATCTTAAACGTGAGTATTGATAGGCACGATGAGGATGGTGTAGTCAAGAGATCAGATCGTTGCGCTGCGTATGTGACATCGATAGACGGCGGTGTGCACGCAGGCTCGTATCATCCTACTATTCGCATAATTTATTTACAGTATTGTTAGAGGATTAATTCGAGTCGTCTTGAAGTTGTCGTGATTGCCTTCTTGTCAGTAAACTACCTTGTGTTGATTTTGGCTCGTTATCTATCAGCGTTGCTCTAAGATCGCGTACATCCCGTTGATCGACAATGTTTGCGGTAACCAATGCACCTATGTTTTAAAAATAACGTCAAAAACCCACATATGGATAGTATAGCAAACGAAAAGACTACTTGAAATGTAGGCTTATATCGGCTTGGTTAAGGTGAATACAATCCCGCTCTACTCCACGTCTTTCTCACTCTTATGTGAACCACCGTAAAAGCTTCGATGACGGCACTCTTACATAGTTTACCTGAATTCAGACCATCTCAAACATTAATGTTGTAGCGGAGGTACTCTAAGTCCCCTGTCAGAGAAAGACTTCTAGACTTGTAGAGTCTCATAGCGTATCAAACTTAGCAGGTATTAAGTTAAAGGGTCTCAAGTCTTTGGACTTGGTGAGACTTAGCTTTAAGTGTAAGTACAAGCTTTAAAGCTCCTAGTCATGGTTCAGGGGACTACGACCCCAAGGAATGACGCGGCACGGGTGCCCAAGAATACTTAGCCTTAACTTAGACACTTATCTCTAACGACCAGAGACGTCCCTAAATGACACGTGTCTGTAACTGATCAAAAGGGGAACTGAATACATTTACTGATTTATAGCGATAATAAACCTTACTTACGTCTTTAACCTTAAAACTATGCTACCAGATAGAATAGTCCTCATCATGGTTTATCTTGTGTACCACACCAGAACTACGTCACCTCTATAAAGACCCTATTTACGATAGATATCTTCCAACCATAACTGATAGGGTACGGTTTCATCGCTGAGCGCATGGCAATACTAAGGCACGTGTGTATTCGACGAAATATCAGGTTAGTGAGACTAATCCAAGGCCTTCCCCGCGACTCGAATGCGATGCTAAATAGCGAGGAATTGGTGAGCTATTACATTTAAGATTCGATAATAGTGTGGTAAGTAGGTATAGGAGATGAATATTAGTAACACAGAAAAAAATTATTTTTAGCTAGGACTTAGTTCGACGATGCTACATCTAAGCTTATCACTATCAATTTTACGACAAAAGTGACGAGCGACGAGTCGATTCCGTTGTTACGCGTACCCTCGTAGTTTCGTTGCTGTCATGTCATGTCGTAGGTACACGACTACTCGTGATTTAAACGATCTTCAATTGCCTCTGCAAAACTTTTAGCTCCTGCATCTTTGTTTTTCTTGAGCTCGTCAGCGATGCGTTGTATTAGCGAAGGTCGAAATGTTTTCTCCAGGAAATCAAACACATTACTGTACTGGAGATTGACTTCTGCCACGTGCTGTTGGTGTGCAGCTAGCATCCGTGTGTAAATATCACGTTTTTTAGATAATCTTTTAAAAGACTTCTCATCGCCCAAAAGTTCTCCAAATAACACATCTAGCGGATCCTGATTTCGAAAGTGATTGCCATACTCCTCGTCGGGGATGACGGTCGCGCGTCCGTTGATAATTCCAATTTCGTTCGCGAATTCCTCTGCAAACAAAGATACGCCTAGTCTGCCGATGGCAGATCGGAGCTGGCGGCCAGCAAGGACACCCATCTCATCCTCATGGAGCGCACCGGCGTGGAGCAAAATCCCGTTGGATACAAAGACAATGATGCCAGGTAGCAGAACCGCGTGGAAGAGGTGCATCGTTCAGAGGAAGGACAAGGGAGGTGATGCTTGGAAGGCGAATGCGAAAATGACAAGAGGTTTGGCCTTTGAAAACACAGTGCGTTGTTCGTCCAGCCTGCCGTCCGATCTCTGCATTGGACACGTTGTTGTTGTCATGTCCGTCTATTAACATATGATTATGCTAAAGATGTCTGAAAACTTCTAAGCCAGGACAATAGCTCCGGAACTGGTAGCTTGTCGTGGCTGTCACCTAAAGGTATCGGCTTATCCCGAGGTTCGAGAATAAAGAGGTCGATACAGGTATGCATGATAGCCCCGGTGACAGCTGTGGCGGGACCGCGATGTTCGCGTTTTGCTAACGCGGTAAGATGTCGAATTCCCAGCGCCCAAAAACGCGCGGCGCTGTGGAGAGGCGTCGACTGCACTCCTCGAAAAACCGCGTCGTTCCGCTCATTCCATAAGTGAGTCAGACAAATGCTGCTCATAATAAACCAGAGACGCTTCCAAACCGCGACACCAGCCTCTAAGTCCTCCGGGAGCATATGGTAAATCCGAAGACGCTGCTTGGACGGTATCTCCGGCGCGTGACGATTCACACTCCCGACGAACCAACGCTCTTCCCACGGCCTCCCAGCCCGTTCACCTGTCCAATGGGTAATGAGTTGACCCCAGCACGCGCGCCTTGGGGCAGTCCCAAAAGATGTGAGCCGGCGTTTCTTTGCAACCGTGACACGCCAATAACGCCCGGCAACTATTGTCCGCCGGACGGCCGGCATGGTACAAGTTGAGTTGCTTGGTGGCTATACGGTAACACGTCCAGACCTGATGGTCGGAAAGGCCATTGTCATGCTTCCAAACGTGTGCCGGGTCTTGGTTTGCGGCAGCCCGCTGCCACTGATCGAAGTCACAGACGGCCTCCAGACGCCGCACCAGCGGTCGCAATGCGACTGCAAGAAGTCTTTTGTGAAACGTGAACGCCAGGCGTGAAATAGCTTTTCGTATAGCTAAGTTCGCGACCGACTCGGCGACGGCCCAAGGAAAGCCATGATGCCCGGGATGGGAGTAAAACACGACGCCGTGACGACGCAAGCGTAGGGCCCAAACGGATCTGTCCTCGTCCGAATTAGTAGATAACTCTGGTAGGTGAGTGGTGAAAAACCAGCGAATTCCATCCGCACTCTGCTGCAGTTCAACAGGCTGGTCAGCGACTTCCAAGTACCCCTCTCGCCTCCCGACCACTCGACCTTGTTGGACCGAGGCCCAGGTCCATTCATGTCGAAAAGGTGGTGCATGGCGAAGAACCAGCTCAGGTTCGAGCGCTAATTCGCCCCCAATGGGGAACGTAGGGGATGCCAGCAAGATTGCCGTCGCCCACCGACGGAGTTTAGGCTGCGAGTGGTGAAAAGATCGGGGGTCCAACCGGCTTAATGCGAAAAATAAATTCAGTTGGCCCTGTTCGCCGAATGTGCAGGTCCGAGATGGGGCAGATGGCGATCCTGTCATAGGTAGCGGATTTTAACGAGAGGCCATTGCCGTCCTGGATCCACGGGTTATTACTCCAGCCTAGTGTCCCCCAAAAGCGATGAATCGCACACTGTTGAGGATCGAGCGCAGGTAACCCAGCCGGGAAAGGGTGATGATACGACAGCACCCATTCCTCCTCCTCCCACCAGCTACTGGCGCCGTGGAGGATGGGGTGGTAGTACGTTCGTACCCGCTCGCTGAGAATGGTGGCTTGCTCTACCGTAGGGTGTAGAAGCTTGTCAACGTCCGGTACCCATGAATTTGGGGACGGTGCCCCGACACACGATGCAGCCCCAGCTGCCTGCGTCCTGCAATGGAGAACCAGACTCGAATTTGTCGGCCGGCCTTGATAAGCCCACGCACTCCAGGCTCCAAAATACTTGTCCTGAGCTTGTGTGAGCCACTGTAAAGCGTGCTTGGTACGCTGCGTTTTAATAGCCACCTCCAAAGAGGCCAACCCAATCCCCCTGCCTTTTGGGGGTGAAAAGTAGTCCCGGGTTAATCTTGTGTCGGCTGGCTTCCGTTGAAGTCGCATGAGCCCATAAAAATTGTTTGTACAGGTTGTGGACAGCAAGTCGTGCCCACTCAGGCATATCGAACACCGCCGCCGTGAACAGAACAGACGGGAGAATGATGGAGTTGAGGATCAACACCCGATTCGCCACACTGGTCGCCACCCTGGAAGCTGTCATTAGCCTCCGTTGAAGCTTCCGGATACGAAGCGCCCAGTTGCAATTGTGTAAGGGTCTCAGTCCTACTTGATAGCCCAGGTATCGCACCGTGTCCGCATGTTGAAGGACCGGAATGCCCCGCATATCGGCTACGTGCACAGCCCGATTAAGACAAATGATCTGACTCTTGGAGGGTTGGGCAACTAGCCCTGATAGGGTCCCAAATTGAGAGAGAAGAGCTATCGCTGGCTCTAGCTGACTGGCCTTCTCGAGAAAGATCGTCGAGTCATCCACAAATGCCGAGAAAACGTGCGTTGCCGGATGTCGTCCAGGGACAGGAAGCCCAGACAAATCTGGTGATTGCTGTACCGCAACGCCCAATATCTCCACCACGACGAGAAAAAGCAAAGGGGCGAGTGGACAGCCTTGCCGGATACCGGAAACGACGGAGATGGGACGAGACTGTTCCCCATTTACAAGGAACGCGGCCGAAGTACCAGTATGTAGACGAGTTATAAGCTGAACATACCTTTCCGCGAAACCAAATTGGCGAAGAGCCTCATACAGGAATTCGCGATCGACCGTGTCATAAGCCTTGCGGAAATCCAGTAGGAGGATCACTCGGCTGTCGTCGGCGGATGTAGTTGTATCCGATGTTGCTGTCGCCAGTTGAGCGAGCATCATCAACACTAGTTTAGACATCTGGCGTCCGTGTACGAAGCCTTGCTGCGAGTCACCAATGACTTTTGGTAATACGCGTTGCAGTCGTGTTGCCAGCACTTTCGCAAAGATCTTGTAGCTGGTTTGGAGTAGAGAAATCGGTCTGTAATCCATCGCATCCGCCGAGTCTCCCTTTTTTCGCAAGGGTATGATCAAAGCTTCGAGAAATGAAGGCGGGGGATCAGCTCCAGCCAAAATTTGATTGCTGAGCTGGACCAGGGCGGGGACAAGAAGTGCAGACGTATCCTTGTAAAAATCGTTGTTGAGCCCGTCCAGTCCCGCCGACTTATGTCGACTGAGCCCAGAAACGGCTGCAAGGACTTCCGCTTCCGAAAACATCAGCCAAGAGAGCCCGGTTGTCGGCAGAAGACAAGACTCGGTCTGTGGGTAGATTGACAAAACGGCGAATGGCTGACGGCAAGTCCACTCTCTCCTCCTGGCAATGAACTTTGCCAAGGACTGTAGACCATTCGGAGGCAAATTTATCCGCATTAGTCATATCCCGGGTAAAATGCGGGCCGTGGATGCGCGAAATTGTTGTGACTGTTTGATTGCGTTCCCAGTCGGCAACCCGCTTGTAAAAATAGCGCAACTGGTCAGCCGTCCTGGCGAGCTTCTGGCCCAGTCGCACCAGATGTTCCTGCCGTAATTCCTCCATATTGCAGGAGATAAATTGCGGCCGGGTCAGGAGAGGTCGCCGAGCTCTGCCCTGAATCTTCCGACGAAATCGCGCTCTGCGCTGTTTGACCCGCTTCCGGATGCGTCGAACGCACTGTTGACACTCTGTGACATCCGCGTCCCAAGTGAGGGTAGAAACGCTCTGACCTATAGCCCTTCCGTCCATTTCCGCGACGAGTTCGTCAACGATCCTGCCAGGGTTCGATGAATGAATCGGATATGTTACACGCCCATGCCGGCATGACGAACGAGGTTTGTTCAGGTCACGTAGGTGTAGCACAACCTCCTGATGGTCCGACTGATTGGATGGCACCCGCGCTTCAATCCACAGCACGCGACCTACCCACCCCTCAGGCACATAGAAACGATCGATGCGACTGGCACGGTCCCCATTCCAGTAAGTGAAATGATCAGTAGGATCGCCAGTGCCCTCGTCATCCGCATGATCCCGAAGATCTCTCGCATCCGCCAAGCCCAGTGTCGCAACTGCCGCGTCCAGGGCAGGGCTTTCCGATCGGTGCGATCGGTAACTGCCGTACCGATCGAGGAGAGGGCACTGGACGCAGTTAAAGTCGCCCGCCATAATAGTGTTGGAGGCCATCAAATTCCAGCTGAGAAGGGAAGTAAAGAAGTCTTCCCGTTCACCTCGCAGTGTAGGTGCGTACACATTGATCAGAACATCCTCCCCAATGGAAATTGCGATCGCCCGGGGTGACCAGCGTTCCGGTTCCCAGGCCGAAGCTGTACGAGCAGAATGAGGGGTAAGAAGAATGGCAACACCAGCACGGCTAGAAGAGCCAATACTCCAGAACGATAGAGGAGGAGCGTCAGGATCCAAGTGTTGACCCCATAACTGAGCCCACCTGGAACTCAGCCTACCCGCCTCTTCGTCAGTATGTACATGCGTCTCCTGAATACACCAAGCCTGCGGGCGACGGATCTGAGGCGCACTACGCCACGCCGACAACCACCCTTCCCGAGCGCTAGCCTTGAAGCCCCTCACGTTTTGAGAAATAAAGAGCCTGTCCCCACCCCGAGAATCCAGTGGATCAACTGCTGAAGTCCAGGACGGAGACCAGTCGTGAAGTTTGCGATGCCGGCTGTAGGCGTCAGCTTCCTCAAAGAAAGGAACTTCGGGGGCTGAAGACGAAATTCTGCTGTAAGCTGCCCTTAGTACTCGAGGAGGAACCTCTGCTCTGCCGGGGCCAAAGCAGTAGTAAAATAGCGAACGAGCGCAGTCCAGTCGATCGGAGCATCCCCGTCTGGGTAGTACGTATCCTTGTAGGTACTATTGGTCCGAAGTAAGCGAAAGTGGCAACGGAGTTGCTCGGGAGGGCGTACTGGCTTTCCGCCAGTCCCCGTCAGAGCAAAAATCTCGTTGTCGAACACGATGGCACACATGAGGTGGTGACTCATTCGGACGCGTCTGTGCGGGTCACACAATCGTAAAATGTCGTCCCCCGCATAGTTAATCCCTCGCAACTTTCTCCAATCGTCGGAATTGTCAATCAGAGGGGCCAGCAGAGACGGCGAAAGGCGCTGCTGCGATCGAGCAATCCATTGGTCGAGCCAAACACCCGTGGGTAGCTCTGTCACTCGCTGTCGGAATTCTAGGAGCCCGGATAATAAGCACTCCTGGCGCCACAGCGCCGTCCACTGTACAAAAACTGTGTCGGACAAGCTAGCAAGTACTTCGTCTGGAAAGACGAAGCGGCGCAAGTGATGTAGTAACAATTCCGGCTCCAAACGAGCCGTAGCCTCCCACCCGTTGGAGTCTCCATATACTAGAGGATACGGAGTTGCTGCTGACGGCGGCCATTCGGCTCCCAGATAACTCCAGAGCTCTGGCCATTCGTCCCGATCGATTCTGTCGTCCGGCGCGTCTAGTGAAGATTTCCGAAGGGCTGAACGAACCCGACCTTTCTTGTGGCGAGAGCCGATCGGAACGACAGCACCTGGATCCGCAGACGCCGCCAGGAGCGGGGGAGAGCCGCCGTGGCCCCGTTTCCGCGCCGCAGAGGCCATCCCGCGTTCGCGACAGCTGCTCGAAGTAGAAGTTAAAGCCAATTGACCAGAGGGTTGTGCCGAGGTTCGAGCGACCGCGTCTCCAGCGTCGTAAAGGACGATCGACGTCCGGTCACCGCTGTCAGGAAGGAGTTTGTCGTCTGAGGGCAGTGCTGAAGCGCTTTTCTCCTCCAATGGTACCAACGCTGTGGCTCTAGTGTCCCCGAAGGAGTGGACCGGATCCTGAGTCGACGCACTCGGCCCGTCCTGGGTATCGGTAAGGTTTAACGGATCGGCCACTCCCGCTGAATGGAGAAATGCCGAGTAGTGGCTGCCGCCAAACCGCAACACTAACGGTAGAGCCTGACTCGCCCCGACTTTGGTAGCCTGCAGCTCGTCGATACACGCCATAATAGAAAGGGGGTACTCTTTTACAGAAGCCACCGCCCGTCCCCGTACAGTCATCGAAACGGGGTGATACTTGCGGCAACGCCACTGAGGGGTGGCTTCTTCGCGTTGAACGACAAAGATGTCTCTCTGTAAAAACGTGGCTGCCATGCCGAGTGTGTCACTGCCCCCCAACAGTCCGTAGGCACATGCGAAGTTCGCCCCGATGGGGTGGCCGCGAAGTCCGTCAAAAACCAGCGGAATTGAGAAGCCGACTCTGTGCGCGTCATCGACGCCCACCCACGGCCCACGTTCTTAAGTGCCTGCACCCGCAAGTCGTGAGGGACCTGATCTTCCAAGTTCAAGAGTCCTGTACACGTGATACCTCGTTTAATGCAAGCCGTGAGAAGCTCCTGGTCCTTGGTAGGGGCGGTCAAGGCAGACTCAGCCACCGCTTGAGCAAGAGCTATCGCCAAACAATTGCCGTTCGCTGGAGTGTTTATTTCCCGAAGTCCCAGAATACTCACAAGCTCGCCCATGTGGATGGGTTCCGCTAACGGCTTAGGATCCATGGGTATCGAGTGACATTGCCGATCCGGCAGCAGCTTTAAAAGCTTTTCGCAAGTCAGACGTTCCCGTCGCTGCTGGGTCAGGAGAGCCGGACCCGCGATAACTACCGCCGGGCCCCGAATACCGGCTGCTTGTTTCCGGGCCTGATCCTCCGGCAGAAGCCGAGAGTGGGACAGCCGTGCCGAAAAAGCAGGAGTCGAGGAGCCTCCAGTCCCCGGCTGCGGAGGTGCAGAGGCGACACTGCCTTCAAATGGGGAAGACGGACCCTCCTCTGCCCTATCATCCTCCTGGAGAACGTGATAACTCCCGCTGCTGACGTTCAGCTGAGGCGGGGAAGGCTGAACTGGGGGCCAAGGCCGACGACCCCCTCGAAGGGGGCGTCTCATCCATGGCTGTTCGGGCCGGGGTTTTGGGGCCGGAGGAGGCGGGCCCGCGTGCGCGACATGAGTAGTATACACCGATTGGATAGGTATACCTGTTGGCTGGGGCTCGGCGGCCGGCGGTGGACTGGAAGTGGCGACCAGTACCGCCGGAGTCACCGCAGCTTGAGCCGCTGCATCGGCTGATTGCTGCACAACCAGTCGTCGCTGCGCCATTTGCCGCATTTCATCAGGGCTACTAAACGGTTTGGCCAGATCTTCAACAGCTAAAAGCTCGGCTTCGTGGACCTCCAGCCCGCCCGGCCCCCGCAACTGCGCATCAGTAAACTGACACCTCGACGCCGGGTGGCCTAGCGTACCACATTGCAAACATTGGAGGCGACGGCCCACGTCCGGATGCCGGACGATAATGGGGGTCCCAAACCAAAGCAGTCTGACTACTCCTTGGAGAAAGGTCGGGCAACCCGCCAGATGAAAGGTGACTTTCCAGGCAGTGGACGTACGTGAGTTCGGGGTGCAGGTATCCATATCCTCCAGCTCAAAATCCGTTGGTATCTTGGAGCGGAGGTAGGCAGCAATGCGCCCAATATCATCAAACCGGGTGAGATTATACAGCAAAATGGTGTACGCTGCCCGAGGGTGGCTCGACCGCCCGTCTGGTCCCCGCTGATTCAACCAGACCGAGCCCCTGACCGGGTGATGAACATTCTCGAGCGTGTACGCCCTCCCCTGAAAAGGCACTACGACATCCTGGTGCGCCTTAGCAATGGCTCGCGTAAAGAAATAGAAGTGGATTGAACGGGTAGAACGATTGTAGCTTATCGTCTTGGCCAACCCGAGGAAACGGTGAAGATCCGGCAAGCAGACCCGCAAGATTTCCGCCGATTCCAAAATCTTCTCCGTAATAGCGTGGGTCGTCCGGCGTCCAATTGGGATATCACGACCATGTCTAAGTTGTAAGACTAACTGTCCCTCGACCTGCGCCTGAACAGTCCGACACAACCGAAGCCGCTCGTCGCTGTCGAAGACAGAATTGAGAAAATCAGGCAGCCGACGACAGGCAATAAGCCCTTCCGCAATCCCAATGATGATGCGCCATTCATCATCTGTACCCTCGCGCAGACGGTGAGTACCTGTCAAGTTAAGGCGCGTTGCGCAAATGGCTCGGAGCGTGGTCGTCTCTGCATTGGACACGTGCTTGCCGTTGTTTAGTGTTTAACTATCGGAGGAAGGTGACCCGAACATGCGGGTACTACGGTGTGTAGTTCCGCATGCATCCAGATACAATTCGGAGCTGTGCTAATTACCTATCCTGCTGACGCCTGGACGGCAGCTGCCAGAAGCCACCCTCGCTCATGTCTATAGACCGGCTTGCCCGGGTTAATGCCAGAATAGCATATGTAGCACTAAAAGAGCGAGAGGAGCCGACATCGCTCGATGGTCATAGACAGACTCTTCGCTCCGTATGGATGCATGCGGTTCCAGTCAGTGGTTAAAGATGCAGTCTTGGCCGTGCTGACGAGGGTACAAGCGACAGGGTGCGACAGACCACACGATTGTAGGCGGTTTGAGATACCCAGTTTATGCTCAACCGGCTTGCGGCATAGGGTCTCGGAGGGCTTCCATCTATTCTAATTCTGCACTTTCACTGCAGTTGTTTGCTGTATTTGGTTCGCAAGTGAAACGTTGAAGGTCATCATTACGACTCCATAGTGCACGTAAACTGCAAGAAACGGAGCTCGCGTGTATAACTCGCCCATAACACCGACGCATCAACGTTGCTCTTCTTCACGCGTGCGCTGCACGTGCTTGCATAACAAATACCCTTCGAAGCACCTTAAAACGTCCGGTCTGAACCACGGTAAAACGGCTGCTGCGTTTGCCATGTAAAAACAGTCTTCTTCACAGTCTTTGTTGCTGGGTAAAAAGATGACGCCCATTTACAAGGGTTCCGATCAAGACAGGTTCTACTACATTTGAAGCCCAGGCTGGTTCCGTGCATGCGTTCGGACGATAGAACGTGCTTCGAATCCTCCTGTACTCGACGAGCTCAGTATCAGAAAACAAAAGCTTGAAAGGACGCAAGGACAGCGCGTACCGTTGACCTGCACATGTCTGCAAATGGATAGTACGAACTCAGTCTACGCCTGGTGGAGTCTCGCGTCTAGTCTATGCAGTCTTTCCCGCAAAAAGTGTTGCTGGGGTGGCATCGGCTTCATGCCCGCGTGTCATTTGAAACTTTCACGGTACCACAATGGGTGGACAGACGCCACGAATTTTGTGGGTTCGTTGAACTGCATTGGCGAACTGTCTCTGATTGAGCAGTATCCACAGCCTAGAGAATATGCGTCATGATGCACATCACCATTGTCGCCATAAAGGAGCCGGACCAGGCGACACAACTCGAGGTCATGAGTCGCGTCACCTGGTCCGGCTTTCATTCAGATGGGCTCACTTCCGACTCTTTTGCCAAAAAGACGCGGACACCGCACCGGCTATCTAGCTGTCTCATTTTTTTCGTCATGACGATGGTCATGCGACTGGCCAGGCCGGCCCTTCGCCTTCACACCCTGCAAGATGGGGGGCAAGCTCTGGAGCTCGCCTGATCTTCAGTCCACAGACCTGTATCAATTTTTTGCATATCACGTACCTTGCGCTTAGTCAGGACTAGCTTTATCGTTCGAGCTATCCATAACGATTAACACTGAAGGGGGTTGATCGCTGGATCCTATTTATTATGAAATGTAAAGTACACTCAGCGCTTTTTGCCGACACGTGCCAAGGAGGCGACACACTTCGTTGCACGGATTGTGGCGGGAAGTTCTCTTTAGTGGGGCCTAGATTAAAGAAGGGAGGCCTTCTTGCCGCTGCGCGCGCTACGGGAAGCAGCGCAACGTGCGAACCGGAAAGGGAGCAACAACCAGGGCATCCTGAGGTGTAGGGCACGTTAGAACAACCGCCCCACTCCACGTACGAGTGTCTGCTCTTCTACATCCGCCATCAAGTCGCTGACCCGTTTGCCGAGCGCGAACTCCGGTCCTACGAAGCGAACTAGCTAAGAACGAGATGCTGTCTGGTGGACCTGGCTCCAGCGGTACATGCTAGGGACAAGTCAAGATGGCCCCTCGGGACTGTTCGAAGTGGTATGATATCTCTTTTGCAGGCGTCCTCTGCACGCTACATGCACCCCCAGCGTGGTCCCCGGTTACACGTGCCCTTCTCGGAGTGCGTCCCGTGAGGCCCGATGTATTCAGTCAGCAGAATGAGCCAGAGGGGAGACGAACGATGTTGTCTTGGTAGATGACCAACAACCACCAGACGTAAAAGACTAGTAATAGGTACTACGAATTGACCGTCTGATAATAAGTACTACGGATTGACCGTCTGAATCTCTCTCACGTTGCACTGAGTGCGACGTTCAAGGTACATCACGCGTTGATCACGTACACATGAGGTTCGAGACTAAATCGGACTTGGTACGATGATTATGGTACTTCCAGCGTTATTTGCAGACACGCACACAGATAAGTACGATTTAAAAGTCCGGCATTCGTCTTGCGCATAGTCACTAAAAGCTCTACCCTTCGGGCCCGCGGTTATCTTTCGCCTCACCCTCTGCCGCTCCTGCTCCTGTCGCTCTATACGATGCTGTAAAGTAATCAAGGCTTGACCATCAGTGTCGTGTTCAGCTGTTTATGATGTATTAGTAAGCGCGTTGCCATGTGCTGTTTGTAAGAACCTTAGCGCATCCAGTGTGCGGCGCGTAGTTGCACAAGAGGAGTAGGATAACGTCGAGGCCAACGTCGTCCAGATGCTCCAAGCCGTAGCTATTCTACGGGCACGTGCGTATCTTTGATGTTCGGAGACAGCGGTTCACCATGTATCATATCGCTGTATGCCATTTCTACACAGGACATTGTAAACAACGCTAAGAGGTAGTAGGATGTTCTGATTAAAGCAAGCGACGTCCACCACATAGCTCTGAATGCTGGAACCAGCATCAACTGTCATCAGTGACAACTGATCTACTTTTTGGCGGAGCAGCAGGATCGGCGCCCTAACGATGGAACTCAAGTTCTCGCTTTCCACAGTGAATGGGTCTGTGGCCCGATGGAAAAGGTCAACGAAGTTGCACTCTAGCTGTAAATTCACCCTAAACAGCAATGTTGTGGAGTGACTGGTGGCTTCTGAGATATCGCACACGCGCCCACCGCCGTTTCCTTTTTCAGGTACGAAAAATGTTCGGCTGACTTTGCATCCTCAGCATGTAACCTTCTCTCTCGTAGCTTTTGAACGAGTGGGATTGCAAAGCCTTAGTTAGTGGTTCATGATGACACGTTAATACAGTTAGCAGGCGATGCGGTGCCCCATGAGACATACACAACGCGTGCTATAGCAGCAGGGAAGGTACGGCGTCGGTGTTTCAAAAGATTGTCCGTGTAGTTAGCGAATCTCTCGAGTTGAGACCGTTGGACACGCTCTCGGTGTGCACATGCCCTCGGCCTAACAACACTTTCGACCTAAATATATGAGAAAAGGCCAGTAAGAGGCAGCGCATGATGTGCCAAATAAAGTTACGGACACATTTTGGCTATTCGCTAGCAGTGAAATGGCTACAGCTTGTTGTCAGTGTAGTCTGTGAATGCTTTCGTGTTGCTCGATCCATGTCCCACTTGAAGTACTTCGACACTACCTCGGCCGCCGTACATATGGTGTAGACACTTCTATCGCACGCTCGAGTGCCACCCCGCAGTGTAACGGGGTGAATCGTTGCATAACAATTTGTAAGAAATTGTTAATAGAATATAACTATAAGAGTTATATTCTCAGAATATTGTCATAAGGACAAATATTCTGTAGCACTTACGAGTAGTTCCTAATTGGTTGATATAGACCATCAAATAACCAACGAAGACGCGCCACGACAGACGCACGCAATGAGTGGTGAGCAGATAACTGATTTACACATTTGTTTAGACATAGTTAGATAAAGATAAATAGTGATTTATTGCAGACATTAACTATTATAAATACAGTTCTACTTTTTACTTTAACCAAGTACTAGCTTCTTCTTACCGTCTTCCTCTGCACGTACGAGTGTACGTGAAGTCACGAGGCACCGCCTTATTCTGTCATCAGAATAAGTAGCTTGTACTGTCATCAGTACAAGCTTCAGGGTGCCCCGCTACACCTGGTAGCACTTCGTAGTCCGTCCAAGGACCGCGTTCACATCCAACATGAATATGTTGGATGATGAAGATGACCAAAGCTTTCACGCTACGCGTGACGGCTACTCCCATTTGAGCGATGTCGAATGGGATGCGGTTGAACGAATGGGTTCGACCATGGGCATCCATGCTGTTAGCGTCATGCTAGAGGCTCTCAACAGAGATGCCCAACATGCTACTATCGCCAAGTTCATTCAAAATGAACTTGACGCTGAACGCGAAAAAGTAGCCTTGCTTCACCAACAAGGTTCTCAACGAGCAGAGTTGTTGAGAGAACAGGGTGCTCAACAGTTTGAACTGTTGAGACAGCAGCAGGCTGCTGCTGGTGGGTCGATGCACTCGCGTCGACCCGAGACTTTGAAGATTGACATCTCCAAGTATAGGGGGGTCGAAGAAGAATCCCTCTTGAGATGGTTCGTCGAATTGGATGACGCCATAAGGGCGCGTCGCATCGACGACGGGGATGTGCAAGTTGCATTTGCCCAGTCAAATCTGGCAGGACGTGCCAAGACTTGGGCACTGGGGCTCAAGTTGCACGACCCATATGCGTTTGGGTCGTTGGAAGTCTTCAAGTCGCGACTCAGACAAACGTTTGAACCGCCTAGAGCTGAGTTCAGAGCTCGAACCGAACTCTTGAAGCTCAAGCAGGGTGAGCGTGATGTGCACGCTTACGCTCAACATATACGACATCTTACGAGTTGTATAAGTTCCAATCCGGTTGATGAACACACGTTGGTTTCGGTGTTCATGCAGGGTCTTGCGGATGGTCCCGTCAAGACTCACCTGTTCCGTCTTGAACTAGATTTACTAGAACAATCCATTTCCATTGCGGAACAGGAAGACTTCAGTTTGAGACAGGCTCGCGCCAGCTCGACATCTTTTCGCCCAACCGAGACGGTATGACAAAGGAGGTCCAGAGCCGATGGAACTCTGTTATTTAGAGAGCGAGAAGGCTCGCTCTACAGGCTACAAGAAGTTGCAGAGATGCAACAGATGTCAAAAGACAGGACACTACGCTTACGAGTGTAGTGCCCCTCGTCCAGTGTCTCGCGACACTGGGCGTAGTGACCGTCCACCCATGAGAAAGGGGCAGGGACGCGGGCCCGCTGTTGGTGCAAAAACGCAACAA